GCACTCTCAAGAGTTACTGGAGCTGAACTGTTGGCACTGGTAGTTTCACCTAACAACACTAATCTTTTCCAAGACATAGTTGATAGCTAGAACTCCGATCGGGAAATAAGACACCTTATTGAAGAACTCCAAACTGATCCTACTACTCACAAGCAATTTACATGGATTCAATGACAACTAAGGAGAACAGGCAGACTGGTGGTAGGCAAGATACAAAATTAAGAGAAGCAATTATGACTCTGTGGCATGCAGCTCCCCAAGGTGGTCACTCTGGAGTTGAAGCTACACTAAAAAGACTAGTAACACTGTCTATTGGAAGAAATGAGAAGGGAAGTAAAAGAATTTGTTCATAAGTGTGATGCGTGCCAACAGAACAAGTCTGATTTAGCTGCCTACCGTGGACTATTACAGCCATTACCTATTGCAGAAGTAGGGACTTCATTGATGACCTCCTTAAATCTAGTGGGTGTGAAGTGATACTAATAGTGGTGGTCAGACTCAACAAGTATGGCTACTTTATTCCATTAAAGTACCCTTACACTGCTCAATCGGTTGTTAGGTCTTCCTAGACACAGTGGTGAAATTACATGGTCTACCTGATACTATTACTAGTGACAAAATTGTTGTCTTCCTAAGAGTCCTTTTGGTATGAGCTGTTTTCACTACAAAGAGTGCATTAAACACTTCTTCTGCCTACCACCCTTAATCTGATGGACAAACTGAGGTGCTGAATAGAAGCCTTGAGACTTACTTAAGGTGCTACTGCATTGAAGATGCTGCCAACTAGTACGCATGCTTACATATGGCTGAGTACTGGTATAATACTTCATTCCACTCAGCCATACAAACCATTCCTTATGAAGCACTGTATGGTTGACCACTGCCCTTGCATCTCCCTTACTTACCAGGAGAATCAACTTCAACTGAAGTTGATAACACCTTGATAAATAGGGAGCTGAAACTACAAGTACTTAAGAATCATTTAAGGAAAGCTCAACTCAGACTCTCATATTGAAGTGATAGACAATTTACAGTTGGAGATTGGGTGTACTTGAAGGTCCAGCCCTATAAACAAGTGACTATTTCTAATCACTCATCACACAAGTTAGCTGCTAAGTATTATACTCCTTTCCAAATTATTAAAAGAGTTGGTCCAGTTGCATATACTCTCTTACTACCTGCAGGAGTTAATATTCATCTCACAGTTCATGTCTCATTATTGGAAGTGTTATGAAGTGACATCTTAAATATACTATCCTCATGTGGTCGATTTAGCTAGTCCCTATTGCCCGGATCCAGAACTAGTTTTTCAAAGAAGAATAGTGAAAATGGGGAATACAATTGTTGCACATGTCTTAGTTAAGTGGCAAGGACTGCCTACTGATGTTGCTACTTGAGATTTTGTTACTATATTGCAAACTAGATTTCCTTTATTTGATCCTCATGGGCAAGGATCTTCTATTAGGGGGAGTACTGATACACAACTATAGAAGAGAGACAAACAGCTAAAGATATAGAGGAAGAGGGACGTGCAGTTCAAGAAGTTAGTTACACAACTATAAAGTTAGTTAGAGTAACCGAATTCTGTTAATAGGAAGAATCTGCTGTAGCATTAGTATTTTGATACAATGTAATCAGTACAAATAGGATTGTAATCTATATTTCAGAATCATCAATCAATACATACAATCCTATTCAAAATCTTCTCTCCTCCTCCTCCTCCTCCTCCTCCTCCTCATCATCCTCCTCCTCCTCCTCCTCCTTCTTCTTCTTCTTCTTCTTCTCGAGCTCATTCCTGAAGCAGTGCTGCAATCCTTGAATTCACTTCAAATTTCTACAATTGTGTAACATGGGAGAACCACATCCCAATAGCTAGATATTAAGGTGGGAAAGCCCAAGAATATATAAACACCATATAAGCGCATTGCAATACTGATATGGTACTCAAGTCCTATACCTTGCAATGGACCATAACAAACCATTATGCTTCGCATCCATCATCCCCGACGGCTGTGCGCTAGACTTTTCTAGCCCTGGACGAACACTGCAATATCGACGTCATTATTCATGGCACGGTGGACGAGGTGGGAGATGGGTGGCTCTGATACCATTGGTACAACCCAGGGAGAACCTCACCATCTCTTGCTCTCATCTCCTCTACACGAATCCACAAACCTATTTCTTTCAGTTCATCATAGAACTCCGCAGATCTGAGAAAAACCAAAGAAGACCCATATTTTATTTCTCATATTTATCGAGTTCCGACCACTTTTACCCCACGAAATATACATGAAAGTATAGATCTCGAAATTTTAGTAAAAAATATTCTCCAAATTTGTATTGTAGAACATGAACTTTATATGAGAGTTGACGTCGCAAAAAAGAGAGGTGGGAATTTTTCTCATAGAAGATCAAAGCATTTTTTTTCTTGGAAAGGAGAAATTTGCTCACCAGGTTTTATTAATTTGCAAATTCTTCCTCCATTAGTTAAGCATAAATATCATTATGAGAGAAGTTGATCATTGAAATGATAGTTGATATAACATAAATAGAGACTATCAATTCCTTTTCAAATTGAGATCCTTAATAGAAGTCTATCGATCATATGGATGCTTGTTCGTGTCTGATTATTGAGATGAAGTCTTTAAATAATTAAGACTGTTTTCTTTCTCAGTATGTGAATATATATATATATATATATATATATATATATATATATATATATATATATATATATTTTATTTTATTTTAAAACTAATAAATACCTAAAGTAAAAACATAATAATCAAAACTAAATCAATAAAATAATGAATATCTTAATTTATCTGATTATGTGAAACTATTCGTTTGATAAAGCACGCCCTTAAAAGCTAGTGACAGTGGTAGTTATTGGTTTTGCTCAGCAGCAATGATGGTTGTGAGGTGATTTCTAGTGGTAGGTGTAGTTGGTAGAGGTAGTTTCTGGTGGTGGCTAGTGGTGGAGGTAGTTAGCAGTGGTAATTGTTTTCACTTAACCAAAGTTTCATAATGAGTCATTCAGATTTCAACATGCTTTTTCATTTAGAACCACTTATTCGCGCTTTAAAAGGTCTAATTCATTTATATCTTGTAAAACTCGTATTACAATTATTGAGATGTTATTCATTAAATATCCAAGTGGATGTGATCAATTATCACTACTTCAATCACACTAGTATTATCATATAATTACCATTCCCAATTATCACCATAGCACAACCAGCACCATCAATCACCTCCAAAACCAATCCCAACACCATCAACCACCGCCACCACTAATCTCCCTTTGCACAACACTACTATCAACCATCTTCAATATTGAAAGCCACCTTCAACCACCTTCACCATAAATCATCACCACCAGCCTTATCCTCACGACCACCGTAAGCAAGCAAGCACCATCAACCATGTCTACCACTAGCGACGATTATATATCCACCACCATCGTACATCCTCCACATTTGGCTACCAATAAACTGGTATCATTATTTACTATTGTACAACCAGCATTACTAGCCTCTTTCACCAATTACGATCGGCCACCATCTTGCAACATCATCACCGATCACTATTGTTATCGTCGTTTAGAGTGTGCTCTAGCAAAGAAATAATTTTTGCAACACTGTGTAAAATCAAATTTTTCTTTAATATTCTATAGATATAATAATTAATTACCAAGTTATTAGAAATTTATAGTTTTAGTTTTTAATTAAATATAAATTATTACATATTCAAATGTTTAGAAAGAAATAATGGTAACTACACAATGTTCAATTTTAGAGAAAGTTTATGTGTATTCACTTTCAGATATTTAATTTTAATTAAACAACAGAAAAGGTCTAAAAATGCCACTCAACTTTCAGAAATGGTCTATCCATGCCATCCGTTAAAAAAATGCTCATTTCATGCCACTGCCATTACACATTTGGCCCATCCATGCCATTATTGACTAACGGCTCAATTTTTTTTAAATACTTATAACACCCACATTTCCATGTGTCCTGTTGTTATTGGTCCGAATTAACCCATGCCCCACTTAATTTTAACCTTGGTTAGGTCCACCTACCCAAACCCGACTCGGTTAAAACATACCCAAATCAATAACCCAACCCAAACTCTTCATACCAAATCCCCTTCTCTCCGGTCGTCTTCCCCAAGATGTAAAAGGTGCTGGCAAAGAAGTAATTCGGAGAAGAAAGAAAAGAAGTTTCCGCCGCCATTATCGTCCTTAAACCAAGATGGAAAGCCAAATTTCTTCATGCGTTCGGTGAGAAAATATGGAAGGTTAGAGTTGGCAGAGGTGAAAATTGGTCGGCCCGAAACTCTCCTTGCTTCTGGCCAAGATGGACGACTGAAATTACATCTCATTCGTGATGAAGAAGAAGAAAGAGAAGAGGAAAACGAAGATTTCCCCCTGGACGATGAAAAAGAGATGATTGAAACAATTCAAGAAAATGATGAAGAAATACTTGAAGAAGAAGAAGAAGAAGACAAGGTTGCAGAGTGAAAGTTTCCGGCGACAAGCGGTGGCAGTGGAGATGGTGTTCGGAGAAATTCCCATGTCTAACTTCTGGAACTGGAAAGGGGGGATTTGGAATGGGTTGGGTTGGGTTTGGTTGGGGTTGGTTGATTAATGGGGTAATAAGTTAACCGGGGTTGGGTTTGGGTTAATCGACGTAACCCAGGTTAAAATAATATGGGGCATGGGTTAATTCGGACGAATGAGGACATTACATGTGGGAATTCTGGGGTTTAAGAAAATTTAAAAAAAAGAATTTTGTGCCGTTAGTTCATTAATGGCATAGGTGAGCCATATGTGTAACGACAGTGGCATGGAATGAGCATTTTTGTAACTGATGACATGAATAGACCATTTCTGAAAGTTGAGTGGCATTTTTAGGCCTTTTCCGATTAAACAAATAAGCATTTCTTGAGCATTTACCATGACGTTAACTTCTAGACTTCTCATTTAGGAATTCGTATTAAGGTACTAAAATTGACCTACCTTTACAAAGGGAAACGTTCGAAAATGTACTAGGACTAGGAGTATACCCCTGCTACCGCCTGCGCTTGCACTGATGTTTGGACTGGGTAACAATGGTGCAACAAAACATCTCTTTTCCATCAGATTTCAGCTCTTTTACTCCACAGCTGCAGCGGGAGCGAGTTCCCGTGCCAATGTATTGGTGGAATTCATGGTGAACTCACTTGGGTTCTCAACAAAAGAAGCCATTTCTACAAGCTCCAAGGTAACTCGTTCGAGACTCCGAAATTATGAGCCCCATTTGTTACTTGATCTCTTTCACAAAGTGGGTATGAACAAAACCCAGATCAAAACCCTTGTTTCTTCTTCCCCTGAAGTGTTGTTTTCTCATATTGATAAAAACCTTAAACCCAAAATTAGGGTTTTACAAGAACTTGGCTTATCTGGGTCTGACCTTGTTACATTTATCAATAAAAGCGATTTCTTGACGAGAGGTTTACATACTACTATTAAACCCAGTCTTGATTATCTTCGGGAGTATTTGGGCAGTTATGATGCTGTAGCTAGGATTGTTAAGAAAGAGCCTAGGCTGCTTTCCAATAATCTCCCTAAAGTAATACCACCCAATATACTATTGTTGCAAAATCTTGGGTTTTCGCTAGGGGATATTGAGACGGTTTTTAATCGGCGTCCTAGGTATCTGCTTAATAACCCTGAGTGGATTGAGAGAGTAGTAAATCAAGCAGAAAAGAATTTTAACGTACCTCGGGAGTCACGGATGTTTCTTCATGCCATTGAAGCACTTGTGTCGCTTGATGAATCGAAATTAGAAAGGAAATTAGATATTTTCCGGAGTTTTGGATGGTCTGATTCTGATATCTCCGCAATGGTGAGAAAGCTTCCTTACTGTTTGACTTCATCAGAGGCTAAGATAACAAGTACATTGAAATTTTTCATGACCGAACTGGGGTATGAACCTAGTTATCTGGCTTCTCATGCGCCACTTTTAAAGTACAGTATGGAGAAGAGGGTCAAGCCAAGGAATGAAATCTTGAAGTTTCTTAAAGAAAACCAGCTAATAAAAGGGAAACTAAGTCTTTACACTGCCGTGTCATCTCCTGAATCACGATTTCGTAAGAAATATGTTCTTCCTTTCAAGGAGAAGATGCCTGAGTTGTATGATTTATACATCAAAAATACAAGCTAAAGAGAGGTCTTTACAGTGAGACAGTAGCTGCAGAGCAGTGTTTGTTTAAAAGGTTTATTCACTTCTTGATAATTTTGTTCTTTCATTTTGGTGCTCTTTTCAAGCATGTTGCTACTTTACCTTTCATTGTTGATTATACATTTATCAAAAAGTTACTGAGCTATGAAAACTAGAAATTGAGGCTAGTCTCATTTTCAAATCAACTGATGTTTCTTGTTTAATGGGAAGGAAAGCAGTGTAGAAACCAGACTTGATGTGTATGAAATTGATTATTTGAATACGTATCTCAATGAAGACCGTAATTTGTTGTCATAGCAACTGAAGTTTCTTAATCCAACATCTCTTCGTGATAGGATGGTATTGCTCCTCAACCTAATCTTGACTTAAGGACTATCCGTTGTTGCCTTGTCTAGGTTAATGGGTCTAAAATCTTCATTATACTCTGAAAAGCACCTTCTTTCAAGCTTGGTCAACAGTAGGCATGATGCTCTACATGTGGCATGTACCTATTGTTGACAATTTTGAAAGGAGTTGTAGGCCATTGCCTGTTGTCAAGAAGAAATGGATCTATCTACAAATCAGAAACAAGTTAATTAAGGATTAATTCTGTGAAAGTTGCTTCAGAAAACCAATTTTAGTTTCAGTGTAAGCTTTATTTCATTTGTTTTTGCCATGGTCGTGTCTCATATATATGGAATTTGGCGTTGGTTGACTCTTAGTACTGTACTTGTCCTAGGAGATTGGGGGGGGGGGGGGTTCATGGGGTGTACAAGTAAAATAGAACCTAAAGTATCCTCTCAAGTACTTCATGGAATCAGCATATATGTTTTAAGTGTTCTAGCTTAGCTGACACATCATATATATGATATCCACTTTTTCCTATTTGGAGATTACTTGACTGATCTTTGTACTCTCAACTCAGTCATGGTTCTGTAGCGCTCTAGGCCCACAGTGTCACAAACCATGCGCAGTGTCTAATTTTTTTTTATTTGTTGAAAAGATAACAAAGGTTATGCAATATGTACTGCTATTACAATAACAACAACAACAACAACAATATACCTAGTGTGATCCCACAAGTGGGGCCTGGGAGGTACGCGGATCTTGCCCCTACCTTGTGTGAGGTAGAGAGTTTGTTTCCGATAGAGCCTCGCTATGTTATATGGACAGATATTACATAGCAAAAAAGATTAGTCCCATTCTTTTCTTGTAGGGACTCTATGAAATTCTATCAATGATTCAGTTTCAGCTTCATTTACAATTTCATTTTTACATAAAAATTAAAAACAAGTGTGCACTTAATCTTGATATTATGTAGAGACCTGACTTTGTCTTCAAAGCATCTTACATTCCTCTATCTCCAAACAATCCACTATATACTGCAGGAATGTTATTACACCATTTCTAGCCTAATACAATTTTGGCACCCAAGGGTGTGGCCTAGTGGTCAATGAAGTAGGTTAAAAACCATGTGGTTTCAGGTTCAAATTCCAGCGAAGGAAAAAATACTAGGTGATTTCTTCCCAGTTGTCCAAGCCATGTGGACAGAGTTACTTGGTACCTGTGCTGTTGGGAGGTAGTAGGTACCTCTGGAATTAGTCGAGGTGCTCGCAAGTTGGCCCTGACACCATGGTTGTAAAAAAAATGATATTCCGCCATTTCTTTTATCTCCTTTGCTTTCTTTTTTCTTCCAGCATTTGAGTAGTTCATTGGTGCTTCTAGGCATCACCCATTTAATGCTGACCATATTCATAAACAACTGTTACCAATTATCCATTATAGGGCAATGGAGGAAGAGATGATTTAGTGTCTCTGGTTTTCCTCCACATAAGTTACATCTGGGACAAAACTGGAAGCTTCTTTTCTACAATTCTCATGTGTTGAGCGTGATTCTTTGGCTAGTAGTCTGGAGAAACATGCAATGTTCTTCGTTATCTCCACCTTTCATCTCTGTTTTCAGGTCAAGAGACTGCTTGTTGATCATCTGAGGGAAGAGAGGCATAGGATAGCAGGACATCACTGTAAAGTGTCCTTTACAGTGAGCTTTACTTTATCTTTGTAGTTGTTTAAACGTAAAAATGCTCTGTGCTTTCATAATTTTGCACCCTTGCCTATTTCCTAGTCATTCAACCTTCTTCAAAAGTTGAAGTTCCAGCCATGTTCTTTTTAGGAGCTAGAAGTAGTCTATGGTTGTTGTACAAGGTTGAATATGTCAGGGAACTGTTCTTTCAAGGGACCCATGCCTAATCAATTGTTATTCCAAAAGGACACCCTCCTACCATTACCCACTTCGATATCAATATTTGATCTAAAAGAGGGCCATAGATTTTCCATATTCCTCCATACTCCCGCTCCATTGGAGAAGATGACCGTTTCGAACACTGGGGGCTTTCTTGGCCATATTTCATAGTGATAACTTCTCTTAATAGTTCTTGTTCTTCTGAATTGTATCTCCGTAGCCTTTTCATCAGAAGGCTACTATTATGCTGCCTCAGAATCCTCCTCCTCGGCCGATAGATGTAGAGCTCCATTTGACGGAGTGAAAAGATCTATCCTTGTTGCTTTGCCAGAGAAAGTTTCTCCATAGGGCATCTAACCTTTTCTTCGCTTTAGCTGTTAACTGGAATAGTTATCGTATAAGTTGGCATTAAGTCAAGTACAGTATTAATCAGGACCAACCTTCCACCTCTTTTGCAACCAGTGAGAGGTATTGACTGTTATATTTTGCAAATCTTTTTTCGCATCTTTCTATCCCCTCTTGCCAAGTTTTTTATGACATGCTTTTCACCTAAAGGGAGCCTTATCTAGTTGGTAAGCTACCAACTTGACATTCCAGTATGCTAGCATGTATTCAAACATTGCGCACTTGATTCATAGAGAACATAATACTCTTCCTCTAGTCTACTTTTAGGCCAGACAATTCTTCAAATAAAGTTAATATCAACCTTAAATGCCTTATTTGCTCCACACTAGCATAAAAAAAACAAGTGTATCATCAACATATAAAAAGAATGGAATTTCCATAATATTGAAACCAATGCTAGCCTCTTTAAAGCCCCTTATCCATCCACTATGATTGGCTATCCTTAGCATTCTGCTAAATCCTTCCATAACCAATAGTCCAATAAAAACAAAAAGGGGGTCATCTAGCCTAAGGCCCATTTATGAGGAAATGAAGCGCACAGGAAAACCATTAATCAAAATTGATAATCTGACCATGCTGATACAGAAAAATACCTATTTAAGCCATTTCCTACTGAATCCCATATCTTTTAAAACACTGATTAGGAAATCCCAATTCACATGATTATACGTCTTTCCTATGTCCAACTTGTAAAAGTATTTTAGGTGTCTTGCTTTTTATTCTGGTATCCATGGACTAGTTATCTATTAAGGCTTGCGTCCATGATCTGCCTCCCCTTGATGAATGCCATCTGGTGTTTGTCAATTAACTTGTGCATCCACCCTCTTAGATCTTCCGGTCAAGAGCTTAGAGATAATTGTTTATGCTCCTCTACAAAACTGATAGGTACAGAATCCTTCATGCCAAGGCTCCATTCTTTTTTTAAGATAAAAGCAATGTAAGTGGCATTTATTCTCTTTTCAAAATTACCTTGTCCGTAAGAGTACTCCACTGCCTTCATAATGTCTCCCTTAATCATTGGCCAACATGTTTGATAGAAACTCAATAGTGTAACTGTCAGAACCCGGGCTTTGTCGTTTGCGCTGATTTTGATGGTCTCTGGTACTTCCTCTCCTCCAAAAGGACCTTATAACCATGTTGTCTTCCTCTTCACTGATTCTTGGCCATTCATTTATGTTGAACCTTGTTCTCCATCTTTCACTCTGAGTGTACAAGTTCTAATTGAACTCTAAGATCTCTCTTCTGATGGCCTTTGGATCTTCCTCTATTTCTCCGTTAATATCCAACTTGCCAATGGTATTTTATCTTTGCGAACAGTAGTCATTACTGGGACAAACTTAGTGTTCTTGTCACCGTATTTCAACCGAAGAACCTTAGAAATGTCTGCTGATATTTTGTAACATGTTCAACTCCCAAATACACTAGCTTTTAGGATCAATTCCTCCTTAGTATGTAGCCTTTGTTCATGTATTTTATCCAACACAGACTTTTACTTCATAAGTCTGATTTTCTCTCTAGACTGCCAAAGTTGTTGGTATTCTCACTCGACCAATTTTGCTTTCAAAAATTTCAGTTTCTTTACAAGAGTAAAATCAGGCCTACGTAGTCCCACCAATCTTTTATCTTCTCTTTAAAACCTTCAACCTCTATAAATACTCCCTTCCCCCACATTAGAGTAATATAGGATTATGGCTGGAGGCAATCCTGGGAAGTGCAGAAAACTTGATGTACCTAAACTCTTCATGCCATTTTGTTGTGGAAAGGAATCTGTCCAATCTTGAGGAAATATGATGATAATTGCCCTTCACCCAAGGGTATGCTCTCCCTGTGATGATAAATTCTATGCATTCTGAAAACTCATACATGGCCCTTGTCATTCTGTTGTTGTTAAATCTCTCTGATACATATCTTGTCACACTAAATTATCCGCATGCTACCCACGGGCCCACACATAGACCTCTGGTTGCTCATTGCTGCCATTTCCCACCAAAGTTCCTGATTCGGATTGGAAATGAGGCTTACTGGTGATCTCAAGAGGTGCAGCATAGAAAATGGATAGTCAGAGAACAGCTCGAGCCAAGCTCTGCAAACACCTGCAGCATCTGATGACTAACTACTTTGATATGTAATCTTGAAAGGATTTCAGCGAGAATATCTGATGGTATGTATGTTATGATACTTCTATCAGTCATTTTTGTACTTTAATTTAACCGAATAACTGTTGGGACTGAGGTTTTTCCTTCTAATATATCAGTTCAGACGTTGAAGCAAACTACCTATATGGCTATTTCGCCATGTTTTTGGGATCAATATAATTCTTGGCTGTCAACTAATTTCTGAAAATGACTTGAGAAAGTTTTGCCTTCTAGACTGGCCGACCGACGCCATTTTGTGTGAATTAAGTTATTTTCAATGTTCTACAGAGACAAAAATATTATATTACGCGGAAATTGATACCATCAGTTACCTGAGAGGTATATTCATCCCTCAAATGGTAATAAGTACATCCGCAGTGGTGAAGTACTCACAAAGGGAGAAGTTTAAAACTCATTTTGACAAAAAAGTGCTCATGGTATATCATAGGATGTGCAAGAAGAACTAAAGAATCTGTTTCCCATCGTAAGTCATTGCAATCTAAAAGTTCACTACTATTAATTTCTTTAATTTTGTTAGT